ACGTTCCAGAGACGAAAGCATTATGTCCAGAAGGACATTACCATATCGAAGTGTCCATAGGTGTTCTATATTCAGACAGCTGGAGCAACATCTTGCTCACTTGCTAAAACTTCAAGGGATAATCAAAGTTGCTAATAAAATGTGTTCCTCTAAACTAATTAATATTAAGAAAAGAAGAGCGTGAGCTGAAATTATTTTGAATACAGCAGCATCCTGATACCATTCAAAAACAGATAGGCAAAATGAGATCCAAAATTTAGAGAAACCAAGAAGATGGCACCCTTCTAACAGGCTGCTAACCTGAGCTTTTACTACCCCTAAGTATCCATCTGGAAGGAAAAGAGCTGTTCAGAAGCACTGGTTAAGCTGGAGTGATCTTATGAGGATATTTCGTCTTTTTCAGTAGCCCTGTTTCCCTTTACACTGTTTCTCTGTTAATTAAATTATGTTAATCCCATACTGGTACATTTAATAGCACCAGGCAATACTCTTAGCATGGGAACTCAGCCATCTATATTGTGGTAACAGTTCCTGGAATAGTTTTGACCTGTTTCAAATAGCACTTTCCCAAATAACTCCAGGCTGCTGTCCAGGAATGAATACCAACCAGAAGTAACTCTCACTTTGGAGGCAACTGTCCCGTTTTGGGAGGTAAAAAAGTTTGGTAGCAATGGAACCAGGCAGTCTCAGGCCTGTTGGCCTCAAAAGTGACAGTGATTGACAGTGTTTAATTTATTAGCACAATTGCAGCTGTGGTGGAGTGAAGCACAATATTGGAATCAGAGGCTGAAAAACTGAATGCGTGTGCTCCTGCATTCCCACTGGGGTTAGACAAGAGGGTGGATATAAAAGCCAGGGTGAGCCTAGGTTCCTCCAGCCTAGGTAGGAGTTCCTGTGGATCAACCGTCTTGACAGCTGGAAAGCAGAAAGCTCCACAGTTGACTCCAGTGGGCAACCGTGGAAGATCTGGAGACCCACACTGATCTCCTTGCAGGACCCGAAGTCTAAGATCCTATGCAGAATAAAGGCTTTAACTTTGTGTCTCGCTTGATCTTAACTCTTGCCTATTTGGGTAACTCCTGTCACATCTACAAGGCAAATAGAAGAGCCAGTCCTGAAAAGGATTCATCCTTCGGGACACGAATAAAGATACTGACTCAGGCCCCAGCATCTCCTTCCACCCGAGAGTCACACAGCACCACCCGCTAAGCTTTTCATTTGAGACTGTCTTCCTCTCAGAACAAAGATGTAAAGAAAATAATTTCTCTGCCTACACATAAAGTTCTTGGCTTAAGTTTGTTTTACAGACTCACATTAAAAAAGCATCAGTTAAAAAGGCTTCTTGTAACCTTCATTACTGCTTCCCTATGAAACTAGAGGCAGTTAATACTTTTGCTTTAATTGATGGATATTGAAATGCAAGGATACAGAAAAATATACTGGCTAAAATTCCAGTGCTTTTGAAAAAAAAAAACAAGCGCAATGCTTTTGCATATATCATAAATCTATTTAGTTCTGTTGACAATTTGTAAAAGATAATGGCCACTCTTACTACTACTGAAAACAAGACATTTCTGAACTCCTTGTTTTCTCAAGCTGCAGGATCTCCAGCATTAAAATTCTGCTCTAATGAACATCCACAAGTATGCTAAGAGCCATTCAAAAATAGTAATGAAAAAAAAAAATAAAGAATCCCAAGCCAGGTAAATCATTATAGCCATTTCAGAGAGGAGACCACATGAGTAGTCACTAAAGATAACAAAAGTAGCAACTAGTGGTGAATGACGTGAGCACACCAGCTTCCAAATTCATTGTCAGTAAGCAATGCTAAAGTGATATTTCACCATTTTCTTCCAATTCAGCCGAAAAACTGAGAACCATGCATAATGTATACACAATGTTAGCTTCACACATCTGCCCAGAAGTTTCACGTTCGTTTTTAAACAATAGCAGAAAATGAAAACAAAACACAAAACTGAATTTCATTCAAGACACATCTTTTCGCAGCACCAGCAAGCATACCTACACTTCTCCTCACTTCAACATAATTCAGTGCCTAAGCAGAACAATTTTTTGCAGAAATTAAGATCAGTTGCTTAACAGTATCAAAGTCTACCCACAAGAAAAGCTGCCCTTCATTTCAGTGAGGTTCATGGCGGGTGTGTTCTTATTAATGCCTTTGTTCCTTCCCCACCGAGGGCTCTGCCTTGCACATTGTCATATACATCCTGGTCAGGCACTTGCCATGACCCATAAGCCAGGCTGGTTGGTTCTAAGGCCATTAAAAAAGTCATGTGACCTAGCAAAATCAAATGCTAAAGTAGAAGAAATTCCAGAAGTCAACGCAAAGGTCAAGGAGATTGCTGTCCATTTATGCAGGTTTCCCATAGATTCTGTGTTGGGAAATGAAGAAAGAGATTCCAAATGGAAGCGTAGTTGGGATTTTCACAAATGAAAACCGTTTTCTAAAGTGTGAATGACGCTGGGGGTCGATAACATCATTTGTGAAAATGATCCCACCAAAAGGCATGTATTTAAAAATTAAGCCATTAAGAAAATTGGAAATAGCCTGAGTGGGGACACCAATGGCTTTTACTGGTACACAATTACACATGCCTCCTCTCATGTGCCCTCCTCTTCACACAGATTTATCACAGCAACAAGAAGTTTACAAGGTTTAGGTAAATTCAGAAGGCTACAAGCAACTGCCACATTTCCCAAAGGTCTGCCATGACAAGGGACAAAGTAGTAAAAACACCTCCATCTGTCAGCAACAAACATTTCCCCAGGCATCACTATAGGCTCGGGGAAGAGTGGCTG